TCACCGGCAGAACCTTCGCCAATCAGGATCAAGCAAAAAACGACCTTCGTCGACTTCATCGAACCTCGAGCAAACAATTGAGTTGTGTTACGTTGGCAAAAGTGTACTTATTCAAACGGCGCTCATTTTGATCGAATTGAATAAGTAAGTTCATGAAACCGTAGGAAACTTCTGAATAACTTAATACAATGAATTGTTATTTCCATCACAATTCCAATTCCATCACATAAAAAAGTTAGTTGTTATATCAATAGTTTATTATCTTCCACATCAGAAATTCGTTTTTTCATGTGAATTAAAACTGAATGAGTGTCATTAATCACTAACCTGTGTTTTGAGCTTTCATAAGTTACATTCCTCGACTGGGCAAACATATCAAACTCATCGTCGTTCTTACCGATAGTCAATTTATTAGATGCATCGCCTGAAGCCTTGCTGCTTGAAATACCTTAAAATAAAAATTACAGATCGATATTGTGTCATTATTCAAATAATGCACCTACTCATTCTATTCACACTGGCAGGTAATTCATCATCAAAATCGATTAGGCTATCACTAGCTTCCAAGGGTGGTTTAGTTGTTGGGGGAATAGCTTTGGAGAGTACGGATGATGCAGAATGTTTCATTCCCGCTTCTCTGTTCTTCTCCCACCTACTGTAGCGCAGGAATAGGTTATTCAGATCATCGTTGATTCGCAGAAGTTCTTCGAAAAGGCCGTCATTCGACAATTTGCCTATTAATTCTACCAATCTTTGTTGCATACTCTGGCAGACGGCATGTAATTCCTGTAATGAAGAATTTATCCTTTGATTTAACATAACATATTCGTGAATAAGAGATCTGTTCCATTACTTTTGAAACAAGGATCTAGAATCTTCTAGAGAGCGTGAACAAATGAGCTCTAACAGTAGTGTAGTTAATTGTAAATTATTGTGAATTTCATGAAAAAAAAATCTTGAAAATGAATTAACCGTTTTAATTTCTTCTGCTGAACATTTAATACTCGTCATATAGACTTTAGTTCCAATACACGTTCAAGAATATCATTTTTGACACCAAGTTCAAGAACACTATTTCAAAGCATTATTAAAAAACTAATTTGATGAATATGTAACACTTTAGGAAGTCATCTGGATCTACCAAGTATTTTTTTTCAATTGTTATTGTTTTTATTATTCTGGAATTTATTGATTTCTTCCTTTCATTTGAAGATTATAGGCTGTTCACGTTAAGAAGAGAATGACGTCATTTTTGGTAATTTTGCATATCCAACATAACAACGTTAAAATTCCCACTGAAATGCGTTCAATAGCAATGAAACTAGTAAAATTTCATTTTGTAAGTTGGTCAATTGATAGTGAAATTTCAGACGTTGCCGAATCAAAAAAAAACTCGAAAACTGTCTGTCTTTCTTGTCTTTTCAGAACTAATCAATTTTTTTTATAAAACCTGCGTATATTCAATATGCCTAAAGCATTGTCGAAACTGTTTGAACAAATAGTAGCGTCTTTAATTGATTAGGTACTTTGAAAGAGAACGTGAGAACGGAGGATCTTTACTTCCACTAAGTGCTGTTAGAGAAGTAAGTTATATTAATTGTATTAATTACCTATCCTACATCTATAAGAACTAAACAAAAATTATACAGCGAATATATAAATGTTGGGTTGGATTAAATATTCGTCGATTGTTGATTTCAGAGGGTTGCAGATGTCTTGAAGTTGAGTATTACTACTGTAAACCGTATTGTGACTAAATATAATAGAGGTGAAGTATTCAGCACTCCATCGAAACAGCGAAAACGGGTGAAACCAGTGGTAGATATTGATGATTTCGAGTAAGTATTTTGTATTGATTTATTCAATATATAATAGAAACCAATTCCAACAATGTTGCTACCGTTTGCTCCCTCTGAATTGTCTTGTTTTAGTGGTTTAAAGTGCTTGAAAATTTTTGAAATTTACACCAGTCATTGTCGACTAAAAGAGACTCTGAAATTGTGTAACGGTGAGTCTGAACATAGTTTTGTATAGCAGATAAGTCTATAATCAATAAAATAGCCAGCAAGACATTAATTTGTTGTGCGTTGGGTTTACTTATTTTATCTGCAAGCTGTCTTCCTACATTCACGAAAAACTTATTGAATATATCTGCTTTGATGTTATTATCTTGAGTTATTGTGGCGTCCTCACATTGTATTTCTTTAATTGCAGTGTTTTTTTCAGATTTATTGCTGTTGTAAACTAGTTCCCAGAGTTTTTTTGAGCTATTTTATCAATCAATAAAATTTTTATAGGGATAATGTGTGAAGAGATGGCACTTCAGCTGACAAATCCTGGGTTATATGGAAAGAAGCTTTAGACAAAGCTACACTTGATGTATGGGCTGAAACTATTCAACATACCGAACATAAAATTATATTGGGACAAAGAAATTATGTTTGACAGGGAAGATGTTCAACCTCTCATAATAAATTTTGATTCCGATAATAACTATGACGATGATGATGACGAGTTGTAATTAAAAAATATATACAATTAAACGAATTTAAATAAAATGAAAGTTCGAAATGTTGCACATGTTGGCAACGCCGTAACTTGTCATCTTGTGACGTCATTCTCTTCTTAACGTGAACAGCCTGTACCACATTTTTTTTGCATAAAGATGGAGCAATAGAAAGCCAAAACCTTTCTTTCCCTACATATTATTTGTTATCCTCTTTTATTGTTATTATTGGAGTTATCATTACATATAATATAAGAATAACCAGTGAAATTCAATACAAAATATTCTATTAAATTTACATATAGTACCGTTTCCAAAATAGCAACAGTACAAAATCAATTGTGAAAAACAGCCTGTATATTTCGTAGGAGTAATTGAGTGCATTTTTTTTCATCGTACAACCCACAATAACTCTATTGAAATGTACCACTCCTAGTTGAATACAGCGACTGGCTTGAATGAGTTCGCTATACTTTTTCCCATTCAAACCCTTCTTCTGAGATTTAATATTTCATCATATCTACCACGGATTGCTATATCATCATTTCGAGGGCGTTTCGAAAACATCAAATGATACAGTTGTGAATTGCCTGGAAACTCCGCAATTTTTTTTAATTTTATTCCAAACTGGAATATTTCCCTCTCTGAACCGCAGTTTTCCATCATTTATCAATGTATTTCAGCATTTATTCGGACACTCGGATGTCGTAAGTGTTCTCTTGAATTCTCATCATTTTCGCTCTTTATGAGTGATTTTACCTCCGAGTTTTCATCATAGTTCATACATGAAAATGTTGGTATCTCGAATGAAAATTGATCATCATATGTAGGTTCTAGAGCGACAACATTTTTACTCAAAAATCCATATTCGAATTTTTTCTCTTGAGTTTGCGTCCCTTTATTGATAAAATCGAAAATTTCAAAATTGTTATTCTATTCAATTTTTTTTAATGAATTCATGAATATTTCCGTAAGCTGCTTGATTTTCAGTAGTATCTTTTCCACAGAGTAGAATTTTTGACGAACATATCGGAGACTCCAAAGTGACGCTTCACATCCATTTCATCATCAAAAATTTCAATTTTAATGTTTTTGTACAATTCATCATCCATTTCAATCTTTTCGTATTTTCTCTAAGGTGGCCATTAAGTAGACACTGCACTAAACAAATAAAACTTCTGATGAAAGTTTATGGATATACTGGTTATTGTCCGCGGCTTCGCTCGCGTAGAATTTGGTTTGTCATATCAAGTTTCGTGACACACCATTTCAAAGAAATAGTTACAATATTTTTATCAACCCAAAACTTCAGGTTTTCAACTTCAAAACTGACGAAAGTCAATTCAATCTCTGAACCCCTATTTTTCCCCCTTGGGGGTGGAAATTCCTGATTCCCTTTCTTGATGCTTATTTACGCTATATAAAGAACCTACCTGTATATTTCAAGATTCTAGGTTCAGTATCTTCGGCTGTACGTTCACATAAGAGGGGGCAACAGCTAGTAATTCATATTTTCACTTTAAAAATACAGTATGAAAAAAATATGCCAACTGCAGTGAGCAATGAATAGCTTCGAGAATTGAATATTTCAAGATTCTAGGTTCAGTATCTTCGGCTGTACGTTCACATAAGAGGGGGCAACAGCTAGTAATTCATATTTTCACTTCAAAAATACAGTATGAAAAAAATATGCCAACTGCAGTGAGCAATGAATAGCTTCGAGAATTGAATTATGTTACCTATGAAGAAATTCGCGAAACTAACAAAACCGTTAACGACGTCTGCCTTCACGCTTCTGTCCGCGTTCGGTTCGCGTTCTCGCGATGACGCTGCATTATCGTGATAACTCTTAAACGATTCGTCCAAATGGCCTAGTGTAAAAGACAAAGTTTATAATAAACACTTAAAACGACAATTGTATCAATTCTTTTAAGAATTGACAGATATTCTATAAAGTGCATTGTAAGAGGTAGATATAAGCTATCGCAAACTTTTATTTAAAACTATTCAAAATAAACAATATTTCAGTAAATTATCTGCATGTGACTCCAACGGTATAAGCAGCGCCCGCCAAGATAGCTTTCAGGGAGCATGAATTTTTTCGACCCACTTGATACTTATCGTTATATTATGACCAAAATTTCACAAAATCTTTTCAAGTTGTAGCCTATATGTTATTCTGATGTATAAGCTGTATTTATGTAAAGTTTCATGTGAATACGTTCAGTCGTTTAGGTGTGAAAGAGCAACAAACATACATACATACATCCTCACAAACTTTCACATTTTTAATATTAGTATAGATTAGTATAGATGAGCTTTCAAATCCTTTGCAATATCCTTCATTTTGTAGTTATCTAACTTCACGAATTATACAAAAATATTTTTAATCCCAAAATTTGGGCACATACCTTGAGATTAACATCCACGACCCAAGCTTCCTCTGTATATCCGAGCACTGGATGAGCGAAGATCAAATGAGATCCACCATCATATCAGGCTACCAACTTATCTCTAGTTACTGTAGGACGAAAATTACACATGGGGGCACAGCAATATTTGCTAAATCCGNTTATCAGCCAGAAACTTTCAATAACTTGACCTGTACTTAGCCAATAAACATTTTGTCGTGTTGCATATAGGTTACAATGACCAAACACAGCTTAATACGACATTGGTTATGATATACTGAATTAAGCGTCCACATTCAATATCTTTTCAAAGAATTATATCATTTATGAGGACTCTGCTATATTTAATATTCAAGTACATAATACTACTCACACCTGATATAGAACGGTCATATAAGGGCTGGTATGGCGTCTGCACAAGATGACCAGCTATTTACTCCGCAAGAAAACGTGAATTCTATATGTAAACACTGCTCGAAAAAAGTCAAAAATAAAGTTACCTGTATAAAGTGTTGTGAAAGTTTCCACCCAGCTTGTCTGAAACAAGCTAGTGAACTCAAAAGGGCTGAATGTAAACACGAACCCGATCAACAAACCACTGATACAGAAATGACAGAAGAAACGTACCTCAAAGAAGAAAACAAATTATTGCGACAAATTCTGATGGACAAAGATATCATAATCTCGGACAAGTGCCTAGTGATTCAGCTACTTGAAGAGAAAATCGTATTCCTTGAAGAAAAATTGTTACCAACGAACGGGAACAATCGAGCTGCAAACAATAAACAATCATCAACATGTGCTGTAAAAACAGGAATAGTAGATAAGGCAGACAAAACAATGAGTGAACAACACAAAAAAATAACCATGACAACTATAGTAAAAACAATGAAAGTTCATTATCTATGAATGTGGGGAATACCAACCTACAGGGTGATACAAACATGCACGTAAACCAAGTGGCAGCGGAAATTATGAGAATTCAAACCAAACAAAAAGTAAGTGAGATAATAAATCTCACTAGTGACTTAGACAACAATAACAGACCCTCAAGTTCTGCTACCAACAAAGCAAATACCCCGAATGATGCTGACGGATTTATCCCAGTAATGAGAAAGAGAAAGATGAAAAATAGCAACATAGGAAGTGGTAAAGGTGATAACGAATTCCATGGAATCGGAAAATCAGATAAAAAAATTTGGCTATTTTTATCAAGAGTACCGGATGCAGTAACAGAAGGCAATATCAAAAATTATATCAAAAAACGCACCGACTCGCAAGACATCCACGTGAAAAAACTCGCAACACACTTCACTGGCATCAACAACCAAGCTTTTATGATAGGTGTCGAGCAGTGCTTGCAGCAAAAAGTCTACGAATCCGACTTCTGGCCTGAAAACATATACTTCGACCGCTTCAACTTCAAACTAGGGCAGCGATTTCTGGACAATCCACGAAGCCACCAACCCCGAGAGAACCAGTGCAAACAAACCACCGAAAATTTTCGGAATCCAGCCTCACCCAGGATTACCATGACAAGATAAGAAACACACTTAAATTTAAGCTAGTTCATCTGAATAGTCAAAGCTTAGCAAACAAAATTAACATTCTAGAATTATTCTGTAACATCCACGACCCAAGCTTCCTCTGTATATCCGAGCACTGGATGAGCGAAGATCAAATGAGATCCACCATCATATCAGGCTACCAACTTATCTCTAGTTACTGTAGGACGAAAATTACACATGGGGGCACAGCAATATTTGCTAAATCCGAAATCAGCAAGAATTGTGCCAATATCCAATGTCTAGTGGACTCATCCTCGGAACTTCACTTTGAGTGTTCGGCTATTAGCATCCAAAAAAGTACATGTATCATCACCCTATACCGTAGTTCATCAATAGACTCAGACCCACAAGCCTTCCTTGACAAATTGAGCAGTACCTTGAATTACGTAACAGCTAAGTATACATACATCATTCTCTGTGGTGACTTCAATATAAATTTCATGGGGAATTGTCAATATAAAAAACAACTCTTTGATATATTTGAAATGTACAATCTGAAACTACCATATGATGGACCAACACGTGTTGCACAATATGGTAATAAAACATGCTCTAGCGGACTAGATTATATCGTAAGTAATATTGAAAATATCTTTTGTAAACTAACCTGCCTGGGCGCCTCTGATCATCTAGCACAACTCATGTCTTGGTCTTCGGAAAAAACACCAGACCGAAGGGAACAAAACATTGTACAAAGGAAAATTAACAAACAAACTCTTGCCCAATTCAAAAACCTTTATGAAAATACAATGACAGAAAATCCCCATGAAGTAGATGTTGACAGCATATTCAATAACTTCATGGTGAACTTCCAGTGGTGTTTTGACAAAGCATTCCCAAAACAAATAATATTACAAAAACAATTAAAACCAGGAAAAATACCCTTTTCTGCAGAACTACATTCCGAACTAAGACAGCTGAGAGATCTGAACTGGCTTAAGAAAAGAGTTAATGACCCTACTATATCAGAACATTATAAAAATGTAAAAAAATCTGTGGATATAAAAATTTGCAAAGAAAAAAAACAATATCACTCTGACTTAATTAACAAATCAAATAATAAAGCCAAATCTCTCTGGAGATTAGT